TAGCCACTGAACCTTTATAAATGCCACCCCCCCTTTTCCCTTGCACATGTGCTTCCCTCCTTTTCACACAGTAAATTCTTATTCACTTTCAGAGCTCAAGAGCAATCACCAGTCCTCAAGATCCTTTTTCCATTCTCCTTCACCGGATCAAATCCTCCTAATATATAACCAGTCCAAGCTAGCATGCATGTCCCCCATGACATTTATCACAGTTCCAAGTATATATTGATTTTTGTGATTTTATTATTACCTATCTCCCTCACCATCATGAAATATCCATGAATTCAGGCAGAGATAGGTTCTAGTTTTGCTAATTTTTTATTTCTAGCATAATAGAGTTTCAGTCATATCATCTTTCCTAATGGTAAGAGAGAAGTTGGGAGCGGAGAGGGACAAGGCATTCTAGATGTGACAGAAGAAATGACTAGCTTTCCATCACAATTCATCTTTCCCTCCTCCAGAGCAGAATTACTGCTGAGAAGCAATCCTTGCAACCAGGTGTGGCCATCTGATTAGTTCTTGGCAAACAGAGTGTAGGTAAAAATGTTATGTGTCAATTCCAGGCCAAGGTTTTTAAGAAAGAGATATGCCTCTTCAGGTTCTCCTTCATTTTCCACCATGTGAAGAGGACAGCAAAGCTCTAGAGTAAGGCAAAGGCACAGAATGGGGTCACTGCACGGAAAAATAGTATGCAGATTAGACGCACCCTAAATTAACTATTATGTGAATAAAAACTAAATTTCTATTATATTAACCTTCTGAAGTTTGTAGGTTTATTTCTATAGCAAATAGCATTACCCCAAACAATTCAGATATCAGTATCTTACTGTACTGGTCTTAACATAGACCTAAATTTATGCATTGGCCTGTAAGTCAGGAGCAGGAAGCAAGGGAATAGATACTTGAGGATTGAAAATTTAAGATCCAATAATGCAGTAGCAAAATAAAACCGTGGCCTGCAACAGCTGGGAAGATAGACCACATAACTTTCAAGCCTATTATCTCTAGGAAAATAGCTGTAAAGGGCAAGAGATGTAGTGTGTGTTGGCTTTTACTTATACTGAGCAAGGGATTTCAAGAATGACGAGCTCAGGAGAGATTGGTTTGAGAGCAGAAATAAAATAGTATAGAAAGATTTTAGTAATCGAGGGCCTCTCAGGGCCAGGAAAAGTGAGTGCCAACTGCGTGTGGACACAAAATGTAGAAGGTTAAGACAGAAAAAGGCTTTGAGCTTTGAACAAAGGGCCATTAAAACTTTTAAACAGAGAAACGAAATCCTAAGACAAAAATCAGATTGAGGAGGTTACTTCCCATCTGAGCCTACTTCAAAGGGCCTCAAGGTAAGTGCCATTAAAAGGCATAAGAACTAAAGAAATAAATCAGACTTCAGAATTATATTTAGAGGGAAAAAAACAACTTTGTGTGTATTTACTGAAACATTAAACTGACTGCAAGCAAATAAATGAGAAGTTGATACTTGCCTAAGTCTATATTGCCTAAGAAATCAAGAACCTGGCCTTTAAGAGCCTAAGTCTATAAAATAGCTCTCAGGCCCCAAAACTTTTAACAGCAGGAAGTGGGCTAGAAAACTATGCAGTCCCAAGAGATCAAATCCTCCAAACCCGTTTCAGAGAGGATAACTCACTGCCATGTGGGATAATAAATGGACATGGAAAAACCAGCTGCAGGGTAGAGTCAGGGCCCATGGAGAGTAAGGTCTAAGAAAGGACATTCCTCTACTATCAGGGCAGCGGGGCACCTGCCTGTTAGGTTCACGAAGCTTGCCCAGCAGCACTTATCATTGCTGTAGACTAGTAACTGCTCTTCATTCTCCATTTCTCCCTTTTGCAAATAAGAGCACCATTTTTTTCCAGTTATCCTATCCCTGCTCTAACAAAACATACCAGAAATGAGGTTCAGGTAGAGTGAGAAGGTGAGGGAGGGGAGAAGTAACTTGTCTTGGTTCACAGGTCACTGGATCACAGGGAGTCTATCTGGATCTGGCTTATCCAACACTCAAAAGATCCTGAACTTCAAGCTACATTCAAGTGGAACTTGAATGATGGAACTTCAAGTGATTTTCCTGGAAGAGGACAAAAGTATGTTCTGTGTGAGGGAAGAAAGGGATATTTGGTGGCAGATAGGCAGACTATGACAGATATGGTCAGTGGTCTACTAAAATCTATGACCCCTCTTCAGTGGAAAACAGCTGCCTAACTAGGGTCTCTATTTGCTAGCCACCTTCCTCATCTTGCTTCTAGATGTGACTAGTTCTTGTCAATGGAATATAAGAAGTGACTTAATTCACTTCCAGGCTTTTTTTTTTAATTAACTAATTAATTTTTGGCTGCATTGGGTCATTCATTTGAATGTCTAGCAAAGAAAGGACAAAGAAACAGGGAACAATAAAGATACAGGGAGGCAGGTTGAGAGGTGTGTTCTTTTTCTGAGAACTTTGTATTTATAGAACAGCTGATCATAATGCATCCAGGGTGAAGAGAGGTGACTTTGGCCAAAAGAACAGCTAATGACCAAGTAACTAGAAATCTTAAAGAGGGAGGTGGCAGATATAATAGGTATGAAGAAGTAGGAAAGATAGAAAATAAATGTTAAATAGCCATTATCCCTCAATATACGCCCTCCACTCAAGCCAGACCAGTAGTTTCCCCCCTGCCTCCAGGACAATGTACTTATTCTAAACTCCAAGGCTTTTTCATGTTGTTTTCCTTCTAAGACATTCTTCTCTCTCTTCCCTTGCCTCTGCAGAATATATTTCCCAACAGAACTCAGGCCAAGTCCCAGTTTTCTAAAAAATTTTTGCAAGCACTCCTAGTTTCATAACTCTTCTCCTTGTAGAAATCCTATAGTGTTCCACTACCAGTTACTATATGCCTATAAGAAAATAGCCCTTTATTTTTTTCATAGAAAAGACGGCACTGTTCAATGCCGCATATGTATTTCTGTGAAAATCTGCCTCTTCAATACAGAAACAATCCTGTGAGCCCACTTACCACCCACAGCTTTACAAAGGTAGTATGAATGGTCACCTGCTACTCTAACTCTAAAAGTGAAGAATACAGAGGTGAGGGTGGGTGGATATTAAAGGTGAACAGAAGTGAAGTTCTTTTAAAGAATTCATTTAGAAAAGAGGATTCTAAATATATCACCTACCTCTAAATGGACCAGTCAACGTAGAATTGGATTATAGTTACCTTAGGATAAAGATTAGTGTCCTATAAGCTTTATACTTTTCTCCCCATTCTATACTTTTGTATATTTGGTTTACTTGTTTTCTCTTCATAATCCACTCACACAGCACATATTTTAGGAATCCACACCGTACATCAGACAATATCTAGCAATTGTCAATAAGCAAGATCAATAAGATCCTTGCCATTCTGGAACTTACAGATTAGTAAAAAAAAACAAAGATGCAAATAAAGAAGAAAATAAATAAAACTTGTGAAACATGACTTGAAGATAGGCTTGTCCCTTAGGTATTACAACTAAGGTAACTTCCCTGGGCCCCATGCAAGACAACAAACATTATGCTTCTTGATGCGTGTGTGTGTGCGCGCGTGCGTGCACATATATATTACACAGATCAGTACCCATGTATGTGTTTGAATAAATTCCACATAATAGGGTAGGTCTGCACCAGGGGAATTATGCCAGGCCCACACTCCTCTAGGGACAGCCTTAAGCAAGAGCACGACCCCATACAAATGCTATACAAGGAATGGTTCTATTCAAGTGCTATATCCACGCCTATACTAATAGTTCTCAAATACCAATCCTTGGATAGACAGCAAAAGAGTTGCATAAGAATCACCTGGAAGCTTGTTTAAAATAAAAATTTCTAGTCTACGGTCTTAACAATTTTAATTTAGTCGGCCTGGAATAAACTTTTATAAAGTTCCACCTTGATGATTCTGACTCTCTGGTAGATCTGGCCCCTTAGTCACATGGTGCCTTGGCTTGTTCCATATTTCTTTTATCACAATCAAAGCATGGCAAAGAGCTATGCTGTTCAGTGCCAGTAAGCATGGGATAAATTGTTTTCAAGTAAATAAACAAAGGTATTATAAGGAAAGCTATGTTTTTTGTTTTGTTTTGTTTTCCCAACTATGATGCCTCTTCTTATTAAGAAGCTTACACTTAGGGACAGAAGAGAAAAACTCTGGGGCAGTACTTCTCAAAATGTAGAACATGAACTACTAGTGGTATAGCAGATAACTTAGTATGGTACCCAAAATGAATTTAGATGATACACAAGATTATTTTATATAGCACATGGACATACACTAAAAGGGTACTGAATCCCAAAAGAAAAAATATATTTTCTTTTCAATTCTCTTTCAATCAGAAATCTTCAGTTAGCTATTGGTATGTCTCCTATACCTGTCTATCATTGCTTATCTCATTTTAAGAAAAAGAGAACATGTCTCAGAGTCTTTGGAAAACAACAGTTTTCTAGCCAGAATTTAGTAACGTTGTTTTGTTTTTGCTGTATTTTTAAGGCTATCATCCATTTAAAGTATATGATACTGATTTTTCATTTACACTGGTGAAATACATAAAAACAAGGTGAATTTTTAAAAGACAGCATAAATTACATGCAGGTATTGTAAAAATTATGAGGATGCTCTACGAATGACTGAAATTTAGAAATACTACTGTGTGAGGTATCACTAAAAGTAGCAACCAATTTCTCTCTGTCTCTGTCTCTCACAGACACACACACACACATATACACATACACAAACAAGTAATGAACAATCAAAAGTCACAAAACATTTGTAGCAAGACACTCAATGAAAAGTCTATCCTACCACCTGACAATATACACAAAATAATGACATTCCATAATATGACAATTATTGTTTGTAAATTTCTTGACTAAATGAATATGATAATATCTGACCATACATATAAGAAATTTACTAATGCTCTAATCTGAAAGCCAGGATAATTATTGTTCTGCAATTTATACTACATACCTTATAATCCTTGGGTCGGTAGCAGCGAAGGTGAGAATGATCTAAAAAAGGATGTACAAAAGAAACTATAAATATTTCCTATCAAAAAGAAGAAATTTGTTTTCATCTTTGATTTTTCCTACAATCACTCTGTTTCTACGATTATACTTCATACAGCAGTTTTCAGAAATATCTTAAAAACCCTTCAATAATGTTACAAAGATGATAAGCAACAAGTTAAAATCTGTATCAGTTCTTCAGCAATTAAGTGATTTCAAATCATATTTTCATTAGAGTAGGAGATATCTGATACAGGCCAGATTAATTTTTAGTTGATAAACCAATTTGTCTACATGAAATAGATAATTTTTAGTTGACAAACCAGTTTATGATGAAATATAATTTGAATATATAGATTTGATAGATACTGCCAAACTACATGTGTTCCTAATCTTGGAGTCCATGCTTGAATTAAGTAAGCGTAATGGAAACAGGACCAGCTTTAGAGGGCGGGAGCATACTGTCCTGTAGTGTACAGATCTTGCTGACAAATAGATGTGCATTACAGTTCAGGCTCCAGCACTTCCAATATGGCCCTGGGCACATTATCTAATCTTTCCAAGTCTCAGATTTCTCAATTTTCTAATGCAGGGGTCCCCAAGCCCCAGGCCACAGACTGACAGCGGTCCTTGGCCTGTTAGGAACCAGGCCGCACAGCAGGAGGGGCGAGCAGCGGGTGAGTGAGCAAAGCTTCATCTGCCACTCCCTATTGCTCCCCATTACCGCCTGAACCATCCCCCTTCTCCACCCCACCACCACCCCCGCAGTGGAAAAACTGTCTTCCACGAAACCAGTCCCTGGTGCCAAAAAGGCTGGGGACCACTGGTCTAATGTACCTCTTTCGTAATATTGTTTTAAAGATTACATTAGATGTTACATGTAAGGCAATACAATAAATGTTAACTATTATTACTAACAGCATTATCAACATCATTACTATTGAATACTAAGTCAAACAAGGCCAGGTTCAACTTCCACTACTTATCATACATGTTAGTTTGGTCAAGTTATACAACTAATCTGTTTTTCATTCCTCATTTTAAGAGTATGAAGACAATGCTTACCTTACCTCAGAGAGTTATAGTGATGACTAAATTATACAGTTTATAAAAGTACCTAGCACAGCATCTACAACAGTGGACTATAAAGCTATTCCAAATCTCTCCCTAAGCCAAAGACCACTACATCGTAGATGTAGATTTGGGGTTTTACTCATTACTTGAAGGAGTCAAGTTTTAAGTATTATAATCTCTGTTATATTGATAGATAAGAAAATCAGAACCATAATTTGCAATTCTACTTCTTTACTAATACATTCCAGTCAAAAACATTCTAGCATTCTATATTTTACCTTCCCAAACCACCTTGTACAGAAAAAAAAATGCTATATGGATAGAGACCCAGGATAGTCTATATTTAGTCAATTAGCTTTCATTTATAGCACAAGATGTTTGTTCTCCAAGTGTCCTGAGCCATTATAGAGGGTAGCTGAAACATTAATGTCTTTCACACAAGGTCAACTTCACCATTTAATTCAGTAAGGTCCAACTTACTTCAACTGCTTTTCAAAATTCAAAATAAAACTAACTCCCAACCTAACTCCTCTTCTGTAAAGTCTAATGTACAACATGGCCACAAGTAGCAGAAGAAATAAAAGAATGATAAGGACACACTGAGTCTAATTCTCCAAACATGCTAACTTTGAAAATTAAGGTAATAATTTCTATACATAATATATATTCTTTTTGGTAGCTAATGTAATATTCAAAATATCAATATATTAAAACACAGGAATGTCTTCTGCTCTCCACAAACCATTTATAAACCTATCCTAATTCAGACAAATTTATATAATTTTCTTTCACTTTTATAAATTAAGCTATTACTTTGATCTGGGGTTTCCTAATGTTCACATTTAATCACCTTTACCAACAATTGGGTACTTAACTATATTCTAAATGCAGGAGATAGAGGAGATAAAAGTCACAGCCCATGGTCGTGAAGTGCTTATAATTTACTTTAGTTAAGTTATACGAAGTTGAATAACAGCAGCATAAAAGAACAGGCTAAATCAGAATGGTATAGGCAATTAATGCTATTAAAAAGTCATATCAGAGACAGACCTCTCAAAGTTGAAGGCCATGAGGAAAAACTTCCTAAAGGAGGAAAAAGTTGAGCTGGGCCTCAATGAATGGGTCACACTTAAAAGTATGAAGAAAAAGAGCTAATTTAGATCGTGTGTGTGTGTGTGTGTGCACGACCTTGAACAACTTACTCTACTTCCTTAAATCTCAGATTTCTTCACCTGTAAAATGAGGATAAATAATAGCATCTAAAATTCTTGAGGTTACTGTGAGTAATTAATCAATGAAATATTAAGCATTTAGAATAGTGGCTTGCAGAAAACACAATAATATTAGTTATTATTTGATTCTCCAATAATCTCATGATATCAGTGTTACAAACTGAATATTTGTGTCCTCCCAAAATTCATATGTTGAAGCCCTACCTCTCAAAGTGATGGTATTTGGAAATGAGACCCTTAGGTGGTAATTAGGGTTAGATGAGGTCATGAGGGTGGGGCTTCATAATGGAAAGAGTGCCCTTATAAGAAGAGACAGTCAGATCTTGCACTTGAGCTCTGGTGTGCTCACTCATTCACTCATGCTCTCTCTCCCCTTTTATTCTAAAAATAGATATTAGTGATTTCACAACCGTGCAAATATATTAAAAATTATTTAATTGTAAAATTATAACAACCGAATTTTATGATATATAAATTATACCTCAATAAGGCTGTTAAAAATGTTTTATAAATAACAGAGAATTAGAGAAACTAAAAAAGGAGTTCCTAAAAATGACACTCTGTAAAACAAGGAGGCACACAAACAAATGAGATATTTTGCTGATAAGTATATACATGATGACTACATGCATTTTATTCAGAAAAGAATAAAATATTACCATTTATTGCTATCTACTCAAGATATGACCTATTAGGATTTGGGATGTTATTTCCAATTTATTTGACATAAAAATAATAACCATCTAACAAAGGGACTAGTGGAAGCTCATAAAAGATTACAGTCTTGTGTAGAATTGAAACTCACAACAGAATCTTCAAATGAAGAGAATAAGAGACGTTTCCTCCAAGGGGGAGACAGAGTCTAATATCTTTCCTAAATCCTAAGCAAAATTGAAAAAGGCCAGGATGTTGCTCTTAATTTCCTCTTTAAAATGCACAAATGATTAGATAAAGCTTCCATATATTCTTGAGGTGTAAGAGATACTGAGTTTCTTCAAAAGGACTGCACAAATTACAATTAGAATTATATATCAAGGAAATTCCAGACAGAGAAAATTTAAAAATTTTATTTAAAAAAATACACCTAAATGAAAGTAGGAAAAGTGGTAGGAGAGTAGTGGAAAAGAAAGGAAGTTGGGGTTAGAAAACCTGGGTTCTACACTGTACCTGGCTATTCTGTAGCTCTCCAACATATCACGTAACCTCTCTAAGCCTCTGTCACTCTTCCTGATCAAATATAGTTACATCCACCTTCATATTATTATGAGGACTAAATAAATCAATGTTGGTGAAAATGGTAACCTATAGGAACTTAAGAATTATTAGGCAAGATAATTTGGTAAGAAAATGTTCAAGAAGAATTTTCATTAAAGATAGTCATAAGTGAAAATTCACTATGTGCAAGATATTCTATCATAAGAAATTCACATATGTATTTAAATAGCTGATAAGAACCCAAAGCACAATTGCTCAACTGCCAACCAGAAAAAAAAGTAGTCCAAAGAATAGGGGCATTAAAATTAGAGAACTGAGAAGGGAAAACTCTTTATAGTAAAAGGCAAATAATAAATGTGTAAAGAAAAATGGAACTTAAAAAAATATTTGGTAAACATCACTGTAATAAATTGTTTCGGGCAAGAATCATCAATGTATGCTAAAGGGGTCGAAGTCGAAGAGAATTACATAGTCTCAATCTTCCCATAATTACAAAGGGAAGGAAGAAAATAGCACCTTCATGCTGGAGAAACCGAGCAGACACCATCTTAATCAAGTGAGCAAATTAACATCACCAGTAACAAAGCAACATCACATACATCCTGACATGATGCACTGAGAGTAATACATCACTTCTGTTGTATTCCGGGGTAAAATGAATAAATCTAATCATGAGGAAAAAAAGATCAAACAAACCCAAATTGAGGGAGATCTATTAAAAAAAAACTGGCCTTTATTCTTCAAAATTATCACATCATTAAACACAAAGAAAGACTAAGAAACTGATCCATATTAAAGAAAACTAAAGAAAGAGACATGGCAACTGAACCTTATGTATATTGTGGAATTTTTTTTGCTATAAAGATATTACTAGAACAAGTGACAAAATATGACTTAGGTTTATAGCTTAGTTAACATTATATCATTAATTTCCTGTTTTGATACTTGCATCACATTAAGAAAACAACTGTATTAGTTTCCTCAGGCTGTCATCTACCATAGACTAGGTGGCTTAAACCACAGACATTTATTTCTCATAGTTTTAGAGGCTAGAAGTCTGAGATGTGGGTGTCAGCACAGCCAGGTTCCAGTGAGAGCTCTCACTCTGGCTTGAGGATGGCTGCCTTTTGGCTGTGTCCTTACATGAGAGAGAGAGAGAGCAAGACCTCTGGTGTCTCTTCTTATAAGGGCACTAATCCTATCATGAGGACCCTACTCCATAAACTCATCTACACCTAATTACCTCCCAAAGGTCATGACCCATCTCCAGATACCATCACTGGGGGGTTAGAGTTTCAACATATGAACTTTGAGGGACACATATCAGCCCATGGCAATGTCCTTGTCAAGAAAAGTTTATACACAGACACTCATACAGAGATGGAGGCAGGAAGGAGAAAGAGAGAGGAAGAGGGAAAAGCAAATATTAATATTTGTGGACTCTGAGTAAAAGGTGTAGGGGAATTCTTTGTACTATCTCAACTTTCTGTAAGTCTGAAATTATATCAAATTAAAAAGAAAAAAAAAGCACCTCATTATTGACCTCTCTGATTGTTCCTCTACACAGGCGGCTGACTGTTTTGATTAGAAGTTACTAGAAACTATAACAGTTCTGCTGGCAAATACACAATAATAGTCAAAGGAAATCAGACATTTAAGTTCATTCTACAAACATCTTCCAAAGAAATGTCTATATTGAAGCTATTTTCAGTTTTCTGGTTCTGAAAGCTTGTTTACTCTATGTCTATAAATTTAGTCCAAGAGGGGAAACATCCCTTGGAGGGGAAAGTCCAAGAGTATAACATCTGTTCCTAATTTCATATAATCTGCTATTCTGAGTATGAAAGACTTATTGATCGCCCCATTTATCTCCCAGTTAGTGCTAAAAGAGCAAAATAAATGTGCACAAACTCTTCATGTTCTCAGATAAGAATGTTCCATATCCCAATTTTTAAAAACAGATTATACACTAGCGTTTAGAAACAAAAAGAGACAGCTCACTACATGTTGATTGTATTTTTTCACTCTCACTTTTCTATGCCTTTTTTTTAGTGTGCAGTAAATTAACTTAAAGGCTGCTGGTGGATACTTGGTGAACTGACTAGCTAATGTCTACAGATATTAACACTTACATATCTCTAATTATAAAATACTATTTAATCTTCTTCATAAAAACCATCTTCATATTGAACTTAAGAAACAACTTATCTAACCATCAGGACCAGGCCTAAAAATGAAAAAAAAATATTATAAACTAAACCTAAAGGACATTATCTTTCCAGAAATATAAATAATAAGTATTATTTTGACAGCTGATATTTATTAGGTGTCCTGTGTGCTAGAGCATTTTACATGGTAATATTTATCATGTTATCTTCATTCTTCAATAAACTAACTGATTATCAGAGTAAAGTGATTTGTTCAAGAATGCCCAGTTTATAAATAAGTGGTAGAGAAAGTATTCAAATATATGTGTAAATGTATGTCCAAAACCTATAAACCTGAACTCTTTTTACAACGGTGTTTCCCAAAGTCTGTTCCATAAACTAAGTAATATATGTTAAGGAGAGGAAAAGGTTTCACGGTCAAATAAATTTAGAAATTGTTGAGCAAAACAAAAGGTTTTGTTTTGTTTTGTTTTGTTTTTTACTAAAAGATATCATAGCCTTTAATATGCTAATATGTGTTATGAATCTCAAAGATGAAGATGGTTTATAGCAGCACAGAAATTCTATTATTTTTAGAGAGTACCGACATGGGTGTCCCACAAGTTGTAAAAAGTGGCATTATACCATATTTTCCAATACAGCCAAGATTCTGTTTTTATTAATTGATGCCAAGACAAAGACTTGAATGTAGCCAAGAGAACTGAAACAGATGGAGAGAGATAACTTGTAGCTAACCATTGTGCAGCCTGGACCATCCATCTCTTTCACAGTCTCTGCCAGAAGATCCAAATAAAGCATCAGCCCTGGGACTTGGAGGATCAACCTAGAATAAGGAAGATTTCAATGTAAAATGGAGCTTAAATATTTTTTTCAGTCTCATGGTGTCAGAAAATCAATTGAAGTACATAGATCACATACCATCAAGTTAACATGATACTGCCTATACAGTTCAAGGATGTTCCAAGATCAGAGCTTAGCCGAGTATTTTGCTGTTTGTTTTTAAATAAAATTTAAGTTAAACTCCAGAAATTTTTAATTATATTTTGAATCCACTCTAAAATGAACAGATTTATAGTTGAAATGTCCATTACTTTATTGCCTAGTTTGCTTCCTATTACAAAGTTAAAAACAGGGAAATCTTACTTTACCACATTTAAGAAACAAGTTTAGCCATTTACTACTTATCTCCTTAGCATATAGATTTTGAATTTAGTGTCTTTACTTGGCTGTGTTCAGGAGTCAGCATTCTGAGTATAGTAATAAAAGATATTAACAGTTATCCACATTTTCTAACAAAAAAAAGTCAGAATGATATAAATCTGTGCAAAAAAGACAGCTCTACTCACCAAAATTAAAAAACTTTGTACATAAAAGGACAATATCAAGTAAAAAGGCAACCCATGTAGTAGGAGAAAATATTTGCAAATCATTATCTGAAAAGGCATTAATATCCAGAATATATAAAGAAACACCTAAAACTCAATCTAAAAAACTCAATTAAAAGTTGAGCAAAGGACTTAAGAAGACATTTCTCCAAAAGATATACAAATGACCAATAAGCACATGGAAAATCAATCAACATCACTAATCATAAAGGAAGTACAAATCAAAATTCTAGTTTACCCCCATCAGGATGGCCATTATCAAAAACCAGAAAATAACAAGTGTTGACAAGGATATGGAGAAATTGAACCGCTTGTGCACTCTCGGTAGGAATGTAAATTGGTGCAGCCACTATGGAAAACAGCATAGTGGCGCCTCAAAAAACTCAAAATAGGATTGTCATACAATCCAGCAATTCCACTCCTGGGTATATACCCAAAAGAACTGAAACCAGGGCCCTGAATAGATATTTCTATACTATTTTCACAGCAGTATTATTCACAACAGCCAAAAGGTAGAAGCAACCTGTGTCCATCAACAGACGAACGAATAAACAAAATATGGTATATACATGTAAAAGATTATGCAGCCATAATAAGGAAGAAAATTCTGACACATGCTGTAACATGAGTTAACCTCGATGACTTTATGCTAAGTGAAACAAGCAATTCACAAATTGACAAATACTGTATATATTAGGTAGCACTTATATGAGGTACCCAAAATAGTCAAATTCATAGAGGCAAAAAGTAGAATGGTAGTTGCCAGGGCTGAAGGGAAAGAGGAATGGGGAGTTATTGTTTAATGGGTACAGTTTCAGTTTAGCAAGATGAAAAATGTTCTGGAGATAGACGGTGGTGATGATTATACAACGTGAATGTACTTAATGTGTACACTTTAAAATGTACACTTAAAAATGGTTAAAATAGTAAGTTTTATATTGTGCATATTTTACCACAATTTTTTAAAATTCAACTTTAAAAAAAGTAATGTGAAAAGACAAGCCACAGAATGAGAAAAAATATTTGCATATCATATAACTGTTAAGGATCTAGAATCCTAAATATATAACAGAAAATTTACAACTGAATTCAACAAAAAGGCAAACAACTCAATAAAAAATGGGCAAAGGGCTTGAATAGACATTTCTCCAAAGAAGATATGCAAATGGCAACAAGCACGTGAAAAGATGCTCAGCATTATTAGTCATTAGGGAAATGCAAATCAAAACCATAATGAAATACCACTCCACACCCCTCAGGATGGCTACAATAAAAATAAAACAACAAAATGAGAATGTGGTGAGAATGTGGATAAATTGGAACCACCACACATTGCTGGTGGAAACAAAATGGAGGAACCACTGTGGGAAAGTTTGGCAATTCCTCAAGAAGTTAAACATAGAATTACCATATGGCCCAGCAATTCCACTCCTAGGTATTAAAGCAGTTGGGAATTAAAACAGGTATTCAAACAAAAACTTGTGTATGAATGTTCACAGAAGTACTATTCACATAACTAAAAGTTGAAAACCCAAATGTCCATCAACAGATTAACGGATAAACAAAATGCACAATGGATTATTCAGTCATAAAAAGAATCAAGTACTGATACATGCTACAACATGGATGAAACTAGAAAACACTGTGCTAAATGAAAAAAGACACAAAAAGCCAAACACTGTACGTCCATAGAGATAGTGAGCAGATCAGTGGTTGCCAGGGGCTGGGGAAAGAAATGGGGAGTGAATGCTTAATGAGCATGGGTTTTCCACTTAGGGTGATGAAAAAGTTCTGGAACTAGATAGTGGTGACAGTTGAACCACAATATAAATATACTTGATGTCACTGAATTATACACTTTAAAATGGTTGAAATGGTAAATTTTATGTTATATTTTACCACAATAGAAAAAAATCCTATTCTGCATAAATAAAAAAGCAAAGAATGCAGTTTAACTCTTATAGGACGGTTGTGCCAGTTTGGGAGAGTACTAGTTAGATTCTTGAAATGGCTTCTTATTCTTTAAGATTACTTTTTATACAGTGTTTGTAAAACTAGAATGTCTTTCCTAAACGTATTACATTTTGCATATTCATGTATCAAATTAAAATTTGGTTTGGTTACCAATTTTGTTAAGTGCTTTTAAAATCATGAATGCCTATGGGGCTGAGAGAAGCATACATTTATACAGTTGGAAACAATCTAGTCCTATACGATAACGTAAGCAATTTTATAAGCTTAGAAGCATGTATTTCTTTCTGTTCAACGGAAAGCTGAAAGGGAAATCATTTAAATAAAAATGTGAAGATTTATACCAAGCATTATTAAAGTTATTCTATTTTGAACAGTGACATGAAAATAATAATAAACATTTTAAGAGCAGTTATTTCCCTAAGCAACTTTTATGTGGCTAACGCTCAAAATATTCCTGGTTATCTTCGTACGTAGGCATTTTAATTAAAATGCTAATATTTCTTCAGATTAGAATTTAGCATGTCCTTTCTTTTCAATTTAATTTGCAATTATGAGCAAACAGAATTAAAGGCATTCTGAAACTGCCGTCAAACAAGCAAGTAAACATATCCGGATATTGTTCAAACCACAAAAAAATGTGACCAGAACCTATAAACGAGTTCTATAGGAAAAAGACAAGTATAATCACAATAATCTCAATAAAATATTATCATTTAAAAGCGTCCATTATATTATAAATTTTCTTTTTTACAATAAAAAATCTATTACTTAGGCTAAAATAATAAAGGATTCATAGTCAAAATATGAAAATGGAATGAAATATTGCTTAAGGCACAGCTAAATTTTTTTTTAAAGGTATCACAAAGAAAATCTGAACTTCTAGGTGGCGTATGTTAAAAAAGCGATTCGACCATCACAGGAGCATGTTTACATGTTTGTACTGATATTTACGTTTTAAAATTTGGAAAAAAATGTATTAGAGACAAAGTCAGAAAGTGTTTCATAGACATCCCAAAAAGTTGTTTTGCTTCTATAAGCACTTAAATCTTCAAGTTTATTATTATATAAAGCAATTTTTATTAATTTGCAAGCTTTTCTTAAAGAAATACTTTTAAGGTAATATAGTTTGATAAAAATTAAAGGAATTACGAAGATTCTGAGAAAGTCTTTTATTAAATATTCTGATTATAGACCCTTAAAATTAGCCAGAGTCTATTTGACTATATGGACACAAGCTCTAAACTCAAACCATACCAAAACAGGCTTCCATATAGAAAGATTAGAAACTATGTTACCCTTGAAGTTAACTCTTTCTTTCAAAGGCCTTCCTCTTCCCATCAAATAAAGATTTACTTCAAAGATCCATTATATAAGGTTTATCCAAGGGACATAATCTCAAGAGAAACTTACTTTTCCATTATAATTTTTTAAAAGGCCGGGGGAGGAGGGTGTCTTCCTTTCCACAAAGAAAACTTGGTCCTCTTTTAATACCCTACTCTGCCATTTTAGAACTAATGTCAATTACATCTCAGTTCAATTTGTAAAGTTATTACACGGTCCACTGTATGAGAGGAAAGGAAATGGCTACTGAGAGGATTTAACATGGCATTCATAATGGAGCTTGATCTCTGTCCGGTTTAAAGGCTGCAAAAGAATGTTCTTTTATCAAGTTAATTTTCCATTTTAGATTGCTAGGCTAACAGTTCAGGAAAGAAAATTATTAATATAAGCTAGAAGTTGAAAGAAATTTGAGAATAATAGTTTAGTGGAAGAACAGATTAGATCAGTTTCAAATGGAAATGCTTCAGAGAACACATACATGTCTAATCACAAATGGAGGTTTATCTGTTTCTTTTTTGAATTCATAGGGCCCCAGATTTAAATGGGCCAGCCGCTGCCTAGTGTCTTCAGATAGCTCACACATGCGTCTTTTTGTGTAAGGAGATGGAGAGTGTGATTTTGAAGAAATTGTAGGCTGTTCGTAGTTTTTTGCATTTATGCAATATTTATTTCTCTCAGGTGATTTGGATTTTTTCTTTTGTGACCTTGATGTTCTGGTTTGCAGTCTGCCATGTGATTTTTCAACTGGAGCCGTATGGTGAATAAATTTATCCTAAACATAAAAAATAAAATTCATTTGGTCAGGAGAGATATATTTCATACATATTATGACCCTTGGGTAAACCATATACATATACATATATATATAACTACAGGTAGAAAAAACCTTAAAAAGTAATTTAAGGCACATATAATCTATCAAAGCCAACTAGATCAGTCTCTCTTATCCATGTAGATCCTGAGGGAAGTCAAATCCATATCCTCCGAAATAACTCTGTCTAGTAGTTAATAAAATATACTGTACCGCACTTCTTAAGTATAACAAGTACTTTAAGAACGTTAAAGCCCAATATTTAATCATTTGAAAAATCTAAGAAAAAAAGTAAAAAAAAATATTTTTCAGTATACTAAAAAACTAATGCAAACATTGGTTTATCATTTATAATTATGTATTCAAATAACTGGCTATATAATTTAAGAGGGTTTGTTTAGTAATCTTAGCAACACACGTCTAATTAGTTGATTATAAAATCTTTATGGAGAAAACTATACGTTTCGTTCATACTATCATGATTACATACATTTGCACAATGTGAAAATCTGAAGAAAAGCTTTATACATATTTTCATAAAATGTATAATTTGGATTATACAAGGTGATTAGGATTTTAAGATCTCTTCCAAACTAAAACTTTACAATTCAATGACAGATAACCATAACATCTTAATTCTGTATTTTTATAAAAGTAAAAATGTACAAAAGACACGTTACAAACTTTAATGACTAGTACTCTGTCTTCTAGTAAAACTGGCTAACACTCTAAAATTTTAAACACAAATGATATTTCTAAATATTTTGTGTTATTAGGATACTTTATTCAAATAGTCTCTGCCTTTAAAAAGTTGGATTACAAGTAAATAATTTAAGACCTCTTCAAGCTTTGTCTAGATTTATAAGCTTTCCAATATTAGAGAAAATGGACAGTTGAGAATCTTTGAACGTCCTCCTAACTTTATCACATTAAAAAACCACCGGGCTTCCCTGGTGGCACAGTGGTTGAGAGTCCGCCTGACGATGCAGGGGACACGGGTTCGTGTCCCGGTCCGGGAAGATCCCACATGCCGCGGAGCGGCTGGGCCCGTGAGCCATGGCCGCTGAGCCTGCGCATCCGGAGCCTGTGCTCCGCAACGGGAGAGGCCACAACAGTGAGAGGCCCGTGTACCGCAAAAAAAAAACCAAGAAAACCCACCAATCCTACCTTCCCTCTTCTCTACTTTCTCAATCCCCCTCCCTACTTGCTAAGGGTATCTATTTCTAAGTAAATAAAATACAAATGTGAAACAGGAGAAGAGTCAAATATTTTTTAAAGTAGGAAACTACTTTTTTTTTTTAAACAGGAAAGAAAATAGGAAAACAAGGAAACAAAGTTTCCTGATTAGAAAAATAAGTCCACAAGTTTCATACAGACCAGCAGCATCAGATTATTTCATCATCTTTCTTTCTTCTCTAGCTCTTGCTATGCTCCTGGACCTTCTCCCACCTTGTTCAATGACTTCAACAAGTAATTCAGAATTTTTCATCCCACTTCACCTATCTCTATGACATCACACTGACTCACAGAAGCAGCATTATTAACACATGAAAAGAACCTTTGAGGTTTAATAAAATGTTCAAGCAATGAATCTTTCCAAGAACTTAGACTTCCTATTTCTGAGCTTTAACTGTCTTTTTCTACTTCATCTTATATTTTATCATTATACAGATCCATTGCACCCTAAACTCTGAAAACCCCTTGCTGACCAAACCTTTTCCTCAACCTACTTCTTTTATTTTCACTGAATCTGTTACTTGTCCTCTTCGTCTCCCTCAGCCCCTAGATCTCTTTTCCCCAGATCCTCATACATTTTTAGGATCTCTTACCTTTAGACCCGGATGAACCCAACATCACCTATTTCAGCAATGCTGTAAAGTTCCTTCTTACCCACCTCTTGCTTATACCAAACTGAAAGGAACTCCATCTTCTTTTTTGATTACAGCTTTTGAACGCTGAATACCACTAGAGGAAGTTAGAAACGGTGCTGTATCTACCACAGATTCATACCTTCTAACCTAATCAATCCTTAATGCATCCTATTAATGCCCAATAAAACTTAAAATAGTAGCTGTTTCATACTGTTTTACACAAAATGGCTCCCTAGATCAGCCACGAGGACAATAGCACTTGTGACAAAAGGAGACTTGAAAAGTGCTAGTCTTCTTTTACTCCAGAAAACCTTCCTGCCACATGTGAATGAGCTGAAATTAGCCTGCTAGATGATGAGAGTCTGTGGCCATCACCCCAGCTGAAATCAAGCCAAACACCAGGAATGTAAAGTCCCTCTCACACCAAGAAGTCAGCCAGCTGCCAGACATGCAAGTGAAGCCCTCCTAGACCACTCAGCCCTAGCCTAGGCAGCCCAGACCAAAAGAATCACCCAGCCAATCCACACAACTGTGAGAAACATCTTACTTTAAGTTTACTAAGTTAGTGTGGCTTGTTACACAGCAAAAGCTACCTGATATAGATTATCAAACATATTAATAAAGTTACTAGTAATATTTAACTATTTACTAATAAATTCTACTTTGCAGTAGGTAAAAGAGACTACATAGAAAACTAGATATATTCCAGAAAATCCCAATAATATATTTATTTTTTCAGTCCATTCAATTGGTGGCAAAACATCAATTGTGACAAAAAATTTGAAAATAATGTGCCAAAAGGAATAAAGATCATTATAAATATTTATAAACCTAAATGATTTTAAAGAGTTTATTTCAATCACTCCTCTCTTAAAAACCGAAAATGGTTTGTCTAATTCTTAAACTGTATTTGAACCTGAAAATGCTGTTTTATAGCCATTAAAATTTTAATTGTAACTTAACTAATATTCACTTGGAAAAAAAGTGGATTTAGCATGTTGTCAAATAAGATCAGATAAGATTAAAATTCTGGCTGTTACCATTCAGATTTTAATGTAAAAGTGTATACTCTGTTGTGTCTACCATACAATGTCTTCATCTTATATTTCATCTATGTCATCTATATCTCAATTATCTTAATTAAAAAACTAATAACCTCAGTAACAGCCACAAAATTTATTAATTATATGCTATGTGCAGACACATATATTCTCCAATTTAATCTTTAAACCAGTCTTTTGAGGAACTTGAACCCAAATCTGTCTGATTCTCAAGAATATTTTCTTAATAACACCAAAGGCTATTCTCTCACATTTCTGTTCAACAAAAAACAAATGACAAACATTGAAATGGCAAGTTAGCCAAAAGCTTACAGAGGAAAATGCTAGTCCAATGAAACTACTAGTGGGGTGAAAGTTCTACATTTAGTAAGGAATCTTCCACTAAGCTGTACACTTAGAATGTGTGTACTCTTCTGTGTATATACTACACTCCTGACAAAAAAAGAAATTTCTACCCACCCAGTAAAGGCATACCCCAGTGTGGAGAGGAAACTTCTGTGAATCCAGAGGAAGCATTTCTGACAATTTACAAATGTGCACAGCGCATATCTCCAAACAAGTCAGTAACCCAGCTCTGCATTTGGCAAGTACGTATCATTAGATCTCTAGTAGCAGTGTTTCAGCTTGCATTTAAAAGATAAATAATTAGGCCAAACTCTAACATACCAAATGTCTTGCTAAACAAAATAAGAAAGATCCCCTTGATAATCTTACAATTATATTTTACCTTTGTTAGCTTGTCAGGTTACCACCCTGAGCAAATTCACTCTGAAACTGATAATGCAGGAAATTAACATTCTACTTTTTCCACCATAGGTCCAGTTCTGCCCTGTTTGGGTCCTCTAAGCTTTATATAGTACTGGCTCATCATCACAGGCTGGCCATTGTTACCCGGTCATAATGCAATCACATATGTATGAGTGATGCCTAGACATTATTAGATAACCTGTGGTCAGGGTAGCAAGATGATCCTGGTGACTCAGTAGGAAGTTAGACCAGAATGTAATATTAGATCCAGATATCTGAGTTTACTGAAGGCAGTTTTTACAAACATAGAAGGTACTTATTAGGCTGAAGTATCGAAGCTTCTCTTGATCTGATAGCACTAGAACAGCCACCAAACTAAGCAACAGTCCCTTAAGGAATTAGAGACACTCAAGAAGCTATACCCACTAACCACCTATATCCCAGCCTGAGAACCTCTGGTCCCATTCACTAAAAATGTATCCTTTGAACTTTAACTTCTTTAAGATTCATAGAAGCCTCCAATCAAGTTCTCTGTGGAACTTTTTGAAACCAACATGTTTCTGGCAGCCTAATTTCTTTCCATTAAAAAAAAAAAAAGTACCATCTACCATGTATACCAAGCTTTTCACTTCCACACTTATTAACATGTAACCAAACAACTAAGTACCTAAGATAATTGTTTTACTTAAACTAGAGACTGATCAAAAAAATGTGAAAAGAGTTGTAGCCAAAATAAAAGAATAATGCTTGCCAAATGCCCAATAAATACAAACAAATAAATTAAACCATTAGATATTTTAAATAAATGATTTTAACCTGAGTGTGGCACTTCCTTGAACTTATCAGACATTCGGTAATCACTGAGGTTGTAGAAAATTCCAGCTTTGGAGCAATTCCCTGAGGAAGAAAGAGAGGGTATTAGTAGACATTTTAATTTTTAAAAAGCTAATTATTACTGGTGAAAACACGACCTATAGTAACAAACACTTACCAAGGTTCAGCTGCTTTATTTGTTAGTTTGAATTTCTTATTAAGGATAAAGACAACAAACGAATGTTAAATGTTATCAAGAAACAGTTTTACTGCTGATGATTCACTTACAAGTGATTATATCACTTTTATGGAAAAATTCAGATATTTTTCATTTTCAAGTATTTCCCTGTCAATTTTTAAAAGATTTTTAATAATATTAAAGTCCTAAATATTTGAAAATACTTAATGGATTCTGGCTCTTTTTACTTTTACAGATTAAGATGTACTTAACTACATAATCCAGAAATACTTTGCATAGTCTCCACGTGTCAAAAAAAAAAAAAAATCACAGCTCCTGGGTATGCAGTTTTTGAAAACAGAAGAGAGATAAGTCTCTACCAGTTCTTCCAACAGTTTTTCCCATAATGTAGCTTACATTCAGATATACGAATGAATGAATCTGGTTTCTATTTTTTGCAACATTTCAATCATCAGCTTAAACACTGTTCTGAGACAAGCAGAGACAAATAGTAAAATTCAAAGGAACAGTCACAAAGCACCTGAGAAAATATTTGGAAGCACACAAGTTACATATTCACCAAAACACTAAAAGATACAGTATATTGTCTGTACCCAGGGCGGCTTCACTCTAATATATTGGAGGTCAGATATCTTACCCAGTCTTTGACCTACTAACTTTAAAGTTTCAAATATTACACACTACAAAAAGGTTAAATATGAGTTACCTATGAATTAAATGGACGACTGTTTTTCTGCAAACATACTTTTATTGATAATGCTTACTTGTTAGTTATCCATTGCTGCACAGCATATTACTTAGCAGTTGAAAACATACGTACATACTATCTCACATAGTTCCTAAAGGTCAGCAATCTGGCAGAGGCTGCACTAGTTGGTTCTGGCTTGAAATCTCTCATGAGATTGCAGTCAAGATGTTGTTTGGGCTGTAGTTTTCTGAAAGCTTGACTGAGGCTGGAGGATCTGCTTCCTGAGATTCACACAGTTGTTGGCTGGAGGACTCAGTTCTTTTCTATCTTTTAGCAAGAGAACTCAACTCTTTCTCGATAGGACTGCCTGAGTGTCCTCATGACATGGTAACTAGTTCTCTCAAAGCAAAGCAAGGAGGAAGACACAATCCTTTTTATGACTTAGTTTCAGAAGTCTAACACTGTCACTTCTGTCACATTCTATTCATTAGAGCCCCACGTTCTAGAACAAGGGAAACTACCTTTTTAGCAGAGGAGCATCAAAAATTTGGGGGACATGTTTTTAAACCACCGCAGTTCACTCTCTGACCACAAATTAAATTCCTCTCATGTGTAAACTAAACTCATGCCCTACTGAAGAAAAAGGAAAAGGAAAAGGAAAGGAAAGGGGAAAAGTCTCATCCTTTTATAACTTCAGCTTGAAATCCAGGATATTGGCATCTAAATCAAATTGTTATTCAGCTGTCTCAGGTATGGTTCTTTAAATACAGTTTCTAGGATACAGTTCCTCACAATTAGAAGACCTATGAACTAAAGAAACATGTGCCCCACATATATTCAAGGTACACATATGCAGCAGGCAGAGGATAATCACTATAGACATTCCTATTCAAAAAAAGAGAATACACGAGGCAAATAGAAATCACTGGTCCACAGCAATTCTGAAATCAGCCAGGAAAATGTTAGAAGTTTCTCACTTCGAAGTTTAGTCCTATTTCTGCTCAGAAATAACTATCCATAGTTTTTGGCTCCACTCTCTGGGCTCTTGCTTCCATCCTTTGAATTATCATTCCTTTGCAACAAGAGGTAGACAATGTTTAGAGCTATAAGTGTTCTGAGCCTGGGTCCTGTCAATAGAATTTTGGGGGTCCAAAAGCCTTTTCATTTTGTAAGGTCTCTCTCAATTTCAGACCATGCTGGTGGTGCTTCTGCCAATATAATGCTCTTAAAAATGTATTTGGTTCTCATGTGAACATAAATGGAGTTCACTTCCTTAGACAAAAGCCACACCCACCTCTACAGGGCTTCTGCTGGCCTTCAATCATCTTCAAGAACATATGTTTAAGCAGCATTATTTACAACTGCCAAGATATGGAAGCAACCTAAGGGTCCATCAACAGATGAATGGACAAAAAACATGTGGTATATATATATATATATATATATATATATATATATATATATACACACACACACACACACACACACACACACAATAGACTACTACTCAGCCATAAAAAAGAACAAAACTTTGCTATTAGCAGCAACATGGATGGACTTGCAGGGCATTATGCTAAGTGAAATAAGTCAGACAGAGAAAGACAAATATTGTATGATATCACTTATATGTGGAATCTAAAAAAATACAACAAACTAGTGAATGTAACAAAAAAAGAAGCAGACTCACAGATACAGAGAATAAACTAGTGGTTACCATGGAAAGGGGGGAGGGCCAATATAGGGGTGGGGAAGTGGGAAGTACAAACTATTAGGTGTAAGATAGGCTCAAGGCTGTATTATACAACATGGGGAATATACCCAATATTTTGTAATAACTGTAAGTGGAAAGTAACCTTTAAAAATGTGATAAAATTCTACATCTTTTTATGATAAAAACTCTGCCAGAAAGTGGGTATAGAGGGAACATACCTCGACATAATAAAGGTCATATATGGCAAACCCACAGCTAACATCATCCTCAACAGTGAAAAGGAATGCTGAAAGCATTCCCCCTAAGATCAGGAATAAGACAAGGATGCCCACTCTCATCACTTTTATTCAACATAGTTTTGGAAGTCCTAGCCACAGCAATCAGAGAAGAAAAACAAATAAAAGGAATCCAAATTGGAAGGAAGAAGTAAAACTCTCACTATTTGCAGATAACATGATACTATACATAGAAAATCTTAAAGACACACCAGAAAACTACTAGAGCCCATCAATAAATCTGGTAAAGTTGCAGGATACAAAATTAATATACAAAAATCTGATGCATTTCTATACATGAACAACAAACTATCAGAGAGGGAAATTAAGGAACCAATCCCATTTACCATTGCATCAAAAAGAATAAAACCCCTAGGAATAAAACCTATCTAAGGAGGCAAAAGACCTGTACTCTGAAAACTATAAAACACTCTTGAAAGAAATTGAAGACAACACAAACAGATGGAAATATATACCATGTTCTTGGATTGGAAGAATCAATATTGTTAAAATGACCATACTACCAAGGCAATCTACAGATTTGATGCAATCCCTATCAAATTACCATTGGCATTTTTCACAGAACTATAACAAATAATTTTAAAATTTGTATGGAAACACAAAAGACCCAGAATAACCAAAACAATCTTGAGAAAGAAGAATGGAGCTGGAGGAATCACACTGACTTCTGACTATACTACAAAGCTACAGTAATCAGTACAGTATGATACTGGCATAAAAACAGACATATAGATCAATGGAACAGGATAGAAAGCCCAGAAATAAACCCATGCACTCAAGGTCAATTAATCTATGACAAAGGAGGCAAAAATATACAATGGAGAAAAGAGTGTTTTCAAAAAGTGGTGCTAGGAAAATTGGACAGCTACATGTAAAAGAATGAAATGATAACGTTCTCTAACACCATATACAAAAATTAACTCAAAATGGATTAAAGACTTAAATGTAAGACCAGATACTGTAAAACTCCTATAGGAAAAACATAGGCAGAACACTCTTACATAAATCACAGCAATTATTTTTTTGTATCCATCTCCTAGAGTAATGGAAATAAAGGCAAAAATAGACAAATGGGACCCAATTAAACTTAAAAGCTTTTGTATGGCAAAGGAAACGATAAACAAATGAAAAGACAATGTACAGATTGGGATAAAACATTTGCAAACAATGTGACCAACAAGGGCTCATACAGCTCAATATAGCTCAATATCAAAAAACAAACAACCCCATCAAAAAACTGGCAGAAGACCTAACAGACTTAAACTGCCATCTGTATGTCATCCAAAGATGACATACAGATGGCCATCAGGCACATGAAAATATGCTCAACATGACTAATTATTAGAGAAATGCAAATCAAAACTACAATGAGGTATCACCTCACACTGGTCAGAACTCCCAAATTAGGAGTTTGGGATTAGCAGATACACACTACTATACATATAATAGATAAACAACAAGGACCTACTGTATAGCACACTGAACTATATTCAATATCTTGTAATAACCTATAATGGAAAAGAATCTGAAATAGATATATGTATATATATGTAGATATATAACTGAATCACATTGCTGTACACCTGAAACTAACACAATGTTGTAAATCAACTATATTTCAATTATAAAAATTGTATGAAAAATATTTTTAATTTAAAATGTTTTAAATGTAAAAAATAAAGTAAAATAAAACCTATGTTTAATTAAATTATTTTCTGAGGCAACACATCTTGGATCTTTTGGAGATTTTAATAAAGGATTTTACAGTCACACCTCCTTGGTTTCACCATCAGACCAAAATTTCCTGAACATACCCTAGAATGATCTTTGCTCATAAGTCATTCCTTAATTTCAACATTATCTGCCATTGGGGAAGGCTGAGAATCCTCAAAAACAGTAAGTTCCAACTCCTTTTTGTGTTATTAACAGGCTTTCCTTTTGCTTCTCTCTCCCCTTATATTTTGCTATAAGCAGCAAAAAGAAACCAGACAGCCCCTCTAATACTCTGTCTGAAAGTCTTACAAAGACCACCCATTCCATCAGGTATTTTTTTCTATATCCCACATTCCAGCTAAACTTTACACCATTACATAACAAGGGCTCTTTTCTCCCCTAATTTCCAATAAAATTTGCCTCATTTTCTTCCAAACACTCATCTGACAGTTTCTTCAAGGCTCTTCAAGCTTTCATACACACTCCTGCAAAGCTGTCCCAGCTTCTGCCCTCTCCAGAGGCTTGAGTGTCCTCAAACATGGCAGTTGGCTTCCCCAGGAGTGAGCGATATAAGAGTGAGAGCAAGGAGGAAGCCACAGTGCATTTAATGACCTGGTTTCAAAAGTCTAAAACTATCACTTTACCACAGTGTATCTGTTAGAGTCACTAAGCAGAGTCCATACTTAAGAAACTCTGCCTTTGGAAGAGAGGAGTGTCAAATCATTTGTGGACATATTTTATAAGTACCACAGCCTGGACTGCAACTTATCACTTTACCCCTCCCCATATATTGCTGGTCATATAGTAAATACTCAGTGTTTTAGCCATTATTTTTAGATCTTTCAAAACCCATGTGTATCAACTGGGGTTTCAGGGAAACAGAACTAACAGAATATATACACAGAGAGATATTTATTTTAAGGAATTGGTACATGCAATTGTGAGAGTGACAAGTCCAAAATCCACAGGGAAAGCTGGCAGGCTGGAAACTCAGGCAAAGTTGATACTGTAGTCTTGAGTGTGAAATATGTAAGCAAGCCAGCAGGCTGGAAACAGGATTTCTATACTACGGTCTTGAGGCAGAATTCCTTATTCTTTTGGAAACTTCAGTCTTTGCTCTTCAGGTCTTCAATTAATTGGATGAGGTCTTACCTACATCATCAAGGGTAATCTCCTACACTTAAAGTCAAGTGATTGTAAATAGTAGTCAAATCTACACAATACCTTCAGAGTAACATCTAGCCCCAACCTAACCAAAATAAATTTAATCATCACACATCGGAAATGTCAGTTTCCTCTATGAAGTCTACAATAAGATGTAATTTATTCAACTCAACCAAGTCATTTAAGTACATACAAAGATCTGTGCTAAGAGGTAAGATCAAAGATGAGAAAGTCACAGATTCTGATTAATATCACTGCCACCAACAAGAGGAGTTTTTCTCATGCGCTTCTAACTGAATCCACCACATTCAGCTGGCAAAGACACAATATTTGCCCCTATGATTGTGACACCAATTCCAATGTGTGGGTTTTCCAACACCACCAAGAAAAGTCTCTGTGACACCATTTGGGTGTCCTGAAATTTAACTCAGCTCTGACACTACCTGGAGATAGCGTCAGATCCCACAGGTTAAGGGCTCAGTTCCACAAGACTGCTCCTATCTGACTTCAGATGCTCATCACAAGTCCAGTTTGTCACCCACACGCTACAAATAAGAGGTTCCCACGACCCCTTCCTTGGGTTCGATCAATTTGCCACAGCTGCTCAAAGAACTCAGGAGACAGTTTACTTAGTTTACCAGTTTATATAAAAGGATATGATGACATCCAGATGGAAGAGATGTCTAGGGTGAGATATGTGGGAAGCGGGGAGAAGTTTCTGTGCCCTCACCAGGTGAGCCACTCTCCCAGTACCTCCACGTGTTCACCAACATGGAAGCTCTCCAAACCCCATCCTTTGGGTTTTATAGCCGCTTCATTACACAGGCGTGCCATTAAATCACTGGCCATTGGTGACTGAACTCAACCTCCAGCCCCTCTATTTCTCAGGGGTGGGGCTGAAAGTTCCAACCCTCTAATCACCTGGTTGGTTCCCCTGGCATCAAGCCCCCATCCTTAGGTTACCAAGGAGCTTTCCAAAAGTCTCCTCATTAACATAACAAAAGACACCTTTATAGCTCTTAAACACAGGAAATTCCAAAGGTTTTATGAGCTCTGTGCCAAGAATGGGGCAAGAAGACCAAATGTATGTTTCTTATTACAAATCACAGTATCACTGCCCAAAATTGATTCTGACCTCTCTGGTAGCAAAGCTACTAATTTTTGCAGCTTGCCCCAGGCTTAGTGAAGCTACAATTCTCACTGGCTATGCAGGGTATGAGAGCTGTCCTAGGCAAGATGACCACATACTTCTGCCATTTTTACCCAAAGTTTTAGCAGCTATTCAAGCACGGATACTTCTTAATTTGTCTTAATTGTCTTAACTGCCGATCAGTTTCCAGTGCCCTAAAACTGCGGCTTGTGACAATTTGGCCAGTTTTATACTTGTGTGGAGAGAGTAACTGACAGACCCTTCACACCATCATCACCAGAAGTCTCACTTTTTATACTGTTAAAAACAACAGGCCCAAAATTGAGTTGCTTACGCTAAGCCCCCTGTCACCAAACAGATTTAAATTAATTACAGTTTTGGCTCTCCCAGAGATGGAATCTTAAACCAGTCAATCAGGAATCGCCTGATTAGCACTCACGAGGTAATCCATCTGATTAGACCCTCTGCCATCCCCTAAAGGAAAGGAACCTTGCAATAATCAATACACTTTTTGGCCTAGTATAATGTCCTTGTTCCTGCTCCCTTCTGGATATAAAAATCTTTCATTTTGCACAGCTCTTTGGAGCTTCTTTCTATCTGCTAGATTGGATGCTGCTTGAATCAAATCAATTTTTGCTCAAATAAACTCAAAATTTTTAATATGCCCCCATTTATCTTTTAAGAATATATATAGACTTTTTGCCTTAGTAATCCAAACCTTTTGATATATGTGAAAGTAACTCAAATTCAATAAGGAAAATACCCGTTAATGGTCCATATTCTTATATTTATATTGCCAATTTGGTATAATACAGCATTTTAAATTACTTTTAAAAAAACTTTAACTTTAAAATCAGATTTTTTTTTCATTGCAGGCTTCTAGAAAGTCCCTGAAACATTCTTGGAAGACTTTTTGGGCTAATGGACACTGAAAATATCCCAAAGGAGGTATATTTTAATAGATTTGCTAGTCAACTTTTATACTTTCAGCAAGCTGAAATTTGCTATTTCCTACAGGAAATACAGGAGAAGTTACTTAATTCACCATATTGGCTCATGTAGCACCCCAATTTCCTTACTGCTCTAATATCTCCTAAAGTTAGTGAAAAATATTTGTCCAAATAATTTCAACCTAGACAACTTTCACTTTTTTCTCCTTTGAAACAGCAGGGGCTTCACTCAGTCTCTCTAGGCAAAAGGCATTTTCAGGAATAAAAATATTATTAATTATCCAATAAAACTGAAGAAGTTGCAGGAAAAGGTGAGAGTTGGCTATCACTTAATGCAGCTTTCACTTTTAGGGGTATGAATACGTATTTCCATTACATAAACGTGTAATAATTATTCTATCCAAACTCCTACTAATGTACATTTCAATTATTTCCATTTTTCATTATTATGAACAATGCTACAAACGAACATTCCTAAGAAGGCTCTTAGTATGCCAGACAGAATACATCTTAAAGCTATATACCTAGAAGGTCACAGGCTATGAGAATCTTGGCCTTCACTAGATAATCCTGAATTGTGGTTGTTCCGATTTACATGACATAGCAACATATACAGGCTTCCATTTTTCCATGCTTTTGACATTTGTCAGATTTATTAAATTTTACCAATCTTATGGCTATAAAAATGAAATCATATGATTGTTTTAATTTGAATTTTCCTAAATGCTAATGGGATTGTGCATGTTTTCAAATATTTATTGGCCATTCTTTTGGGAGAAAAATAAAGAGAAGAGAGACAAAGACATAGGGACAGTGGGGAGGGGAGGAAAGGGGGAGAAGAAGAGGAGAGAAATCTGAAGAATATAAGGCAAAATAATGCTTGTTAATTTTGGAAGGTAGATGCGTGCATTTTGGTAAAGTATTTTCATTTAGATTTCAGTATGTTTAAAATAACATCATAATTTCATGAAGCAATTATGTTTTAAACTAAATTAAACTTTGAATTAGGTCTTCACATTTCAGATATTGAGGGCTATGTGTTGGTTTTTGACAATGATCCTGCAACACGATTTGATTCAGAAAATAGTAAGCACTTACGCGAAGGCCAGATATCCTCCTCATGGTAGCCTGGCGGTTTGAGTCATGGTGCCCAGAAATTTGATTTGGACCCGGGAACATGAAATCTCGTGTATTCTCATCATATGTAGACAGTGTTTCACCCACTACAAGAAAGATATCCTATGATTCAAATTATAACAAAATATGCTATTTAGAAACAATATCATCAAGTACAAATATATAATGCCTGATGCCTTAATGAAGTACCTGCTTCAGGGTCATGGACTTAATTTTTTTTCTATGAAAGGGAAATTAAAATAAAGTTATGTTAAACGAATTAACACATTTCCTTATTCAGAAATGTCATACATACTACTAATTCTCCCTCCCCCTTTTGTAGAAAGGGGATGTTCATGTAAACTTTTTAAGTACATATGAGTTCCTAGAAAAGAAAATCCTTATAAACATATCAAACTGACATAACATTTATACATATAAAACTTAATTACCATCCCCAGAATTTTTTTTTCTATCTTCCATTCTTTTCTACCTGCCATTATGAGATATTAGGTTACATATTGAAAAAAATATAGACATTTTATAGAATCTGTGGTTACCTGGATTAGGTATATATGTGATATTCAAACATTTTAGACTACTAGCTTTCAATAAAATATAGTTCTCTATTTCTCACATAAAATAAGGATTTAAGATAGAGTCTTCTATAATCATAGAAATCAATAATAAAAATAAAACTATCCTTCAGATTTTAACTCTACCTACTGCAGGGATCTGTACTGTTTATTAAGTAGGTACAGTTTTAATTCCCCTACATTCCCAATAACAGTCAATACACAAAAACAAAGATAATGAACTACTTTATCAGCAAAAGCATATTGGTTTAGAAAAATCACAAAAACTTAAAGAAGTTAACTTTTATGAATGTCACAAAATATGCTAGGATCATATCGGGTTATTTCCCACTTTAAATTATGACTATTCAATTTTAGAACAATGTGTTCAAATATAATTTATGTCAATCTTTCTGTATATGTTATTTTGGCCTACTGACATTTTACACATAGTAGGCCAACGCTAGAGACTCAACATTGCTCTTAATTTGGGAAGAAGGGGAAAAGATGAGATTTTTTAAAAAGCATTTCATTGAAATGAGTTCACATGTCAATTACCTTATCAAAACACAATACAGTACCTGGCGGAACTAGCTGAATCAACTCAAACAATGCTGTATCATCTGAAAGTTTAAAGAAAAATTTCCATAAATAAACAAATTTATAATAAACTATAACTAATTACTTTACCACAGAAGTACCTAAAAGCCAAAGTAATTGCTCAGTAGACTACACATATGTTTATATCTTAGTATACTGTGTATATTTTTTGGTTGCTATGTATCTTGTGGATTTATTAATCTCTGGTAGAAATTAATCTTTCTAGGTTTTTTTCTGATTTTTTTAAGACTTTATTTTTTTAGAGCAGTTTTATTTACGTTGACAACAAAATTGAGAGGGAGGTACGGAGATTTCCCCTATATCCCCTGCCCCCCAAAACATGCATAGCCTCCCCACTATCAACATCATTCACAGGAATGGTACATTTTTTACCAAGGATGAACCTACACTGACACATCATAATCACCCAAAGTCCACAGTTTACCTTAGGGTTCACTCTTGGTGATGTACATTCTGTGGGTTTAGACGAATGTATAATGACATTATCCATCTTTATAATATCATATGAAGTATTTCCACTGCCCTGCTCCTCTGTTCTCTGGTTATTTATCTCTCTCCTCCCCACAACCCACCCTTCGCCCACCACAATCACTGTCTTTTTATTGTCTCCAGAGTTTTGCCTTCTCCAGAATGTCATATACTTGAAATCATACAGTATATAGCCTTTTCAGATTGGCTTCTTTCACTCAGTAATATGCATTTAAGGTTCCTCCATGTGTTTTTATGGCTTGATAGCTCATTTCTTTTAGGTGCTGAATAATATTCCATTGTCTGGTTATTCCACAGTTTATTTATCCATTTACCTACTGAAAGACATTGGTTGCTTCCAAGTTTTGGCAATTATGAACAGAGCTGCTATAAACATCCACGTGCAGGTTTTTGTGTAGACATAAATTTTCAACTCTTTGCATAAATACCAAAGAGCAGTATTGCTGGATCATATGGAAAGAGTATGTTCAGTTTTGGAAGAAACCGCCAAACTGCCTTCCAAAGCGGCTGTGCCATTTCGCATTCCTGCCAGCAGTAAGTGAGAGCTCCTGTTGCTCTGCATCCTCACCAGCATTTGATTCTGCCACTGCTCCAGACTGTGGCAATTCTAGGAATGTACAGGTATCTCGTTTTAATTTGCGTTTCCCTAGAGACATATGATGTGAAGTATCTTTTCGTGTGCTTATTTGCCATCTGTATATCTTCTTTGGTGAGGTGTCTGTTAAGGTCTTTAGCCCGTTTTTTAAAAGGGCTGTTTGTTTTCTTATGGTTGAATTTTAAGAGTTCTTTTCATATTTTAGATAACAATCCTTTATCAGATGTGATTTTGCAAATACTTTTTTTTCCAACCTGTGGCTGGTCTTCTAATTCTCTTGATTTTGTCTTTCATAGAGCGAAAGTTTTTAACTTAACTGCAATCCAGCTTATCAATTATTTTTTTCACATTTACTTTCAAAGACGACACTATGGTGTCTTTGGTGTTGTATCGGAAAAGGCATCACCATACCCAAGATCATCTAGGTTTTCTCCTATGCTATCTTCTAGGAGTTTTACAGTTTTGCATTTTCCGGTTAGGTCTATGATCCATTTAGAGTTAATTTTTGTGAAGGGTGTATGGTCTGTATCTGGATTCACTTTTTTTTTTTTTTTTTTTTTTTTTGTTGTCCAATTTTTTTTTTACTATTTTTTTGAGAAAGTTTTTTTGTTTTTTTTTGTTTTCTTTTTTTTTTTTTTTTTTTTTGCATGTGTATGTCCAATTGTTCTAGCACCATTTACTGAAGAAACTATCTTTGTTCTATTGTACTGCCTTTGCCCCTTTGTCAAAGATCAGTTGACTGTGTTTATAGAGATATATTTCTGGGCTCTCCGTGTATTTTTATAAAGATAAATTATGTCTTTCTTAAGCAGAGTGGTGAATACAGCTAGGTATATTACATAACTCACACTTTTAATATGTCTGAAGTACTTGATGATAAAGTTTTTAAATAAAAATAAAATATAAATTATGCCCTTTCTACCTTCTAAGAACCCATGAATGTAATCTTTTCCTTTCTTTAAATTCTGCTATTTTCATCCAAGGGAAATCTCAGTCATTTAACCCAATACTTGTATGTCCAGTTTTTGAGGAAATATTAAATATTCCTTGTAGCTTATCATTCGGATCTGTAATAAGAAAAAAAACTGGTAACAGTCCTACTCCTCAAGCACCTGACACTGTGTTGAAAAGGCAAACATTAAATGAAATAAAGACACAAATAAATATATAATTATAAACTACAAGTACAATAAAGGCATTCAGGTAGTGCTATAAGAGAGTATAACAAGATAATCTTGTCAGGGAGTCAGTGAAGGCTGAGGAGGAGCTCTTCAGGACTTGACCCATAGCATGAATAGGTGAAAACTAGGAGTTAGGGGGGTGGGAAACTAGAGGTTTTCAAGCAGGAGGAACAGGATGTATGAAGGCTGTAAATGGAACATAGCAGGGTAATCTGAGAGATTAGAAGGTTCAAAAACAAACCTCCTGCTAAAATCGACTTGAAAAGGTAGATAACTAAAAAATCTGCTTGAAGGCAGGAGAAACCTAACAAGGTAGTAAAAAAATTACAAGTCTGAAACTCAGTATATGAAGTAAACACAGGACTTCCCTGGTGACGCAGTGGTTAAGAATCTGCCTGCCAATGCAGGGGACAAGGGTTCGATCCCTGGTCTGGGAAGATCCCACACGCCACGGGGCAACTAAGCCCATGAGCCGCAACTACTGAGTCCACGTACCGCAACTACTGAAGCCCGCGCACTGTAGGGCCCACATGCCACAACTACTGAGCCTGTGTGCTGCAACTACTGAAGCCCGTGTGCCCAGAGCCCATGCTCCGCAACAAGAGAAGCCACTGCAATGAGAAGCCCGTGCACCGCAATGAAGAGTAGCCCCTGCTCACCACAACTAGAGAAAGCCCACACGCAGCAACGAAGACCAAACGCGGCCAAAAATATATATATAAAATTTTAAAAAATTATCTGTATTATTTTAAAAAACAGAAGTAAACACAGAGAGATAAGCCTGGTATTTGAGGTTACTTTTCCTTTTGGGTATCTGACAGTTCTGACAGAGGTAGCTAAGAGGCTAAGAAGCTGAGTACAGCTTTTGATAAGCTCATACAAAAATTGGAGTATCATGACCTTGGGAAGAGATGAGAAGGGAGGTCTGCAGGTAAGAGAAAATGGCCTGATAAAATGGCTAGGCTATAGGACTGAATCTTGAAAAGGTAAACCAATTCAAAAAGACACATGCACCCCAATGTTCATTACAACACTATTTACAATAGCCAGGACATGGAAGCAACCTAAATATCCAGTGACAGAGGAATGGATAAAGAAGATGTGGTACATATATACAATGGAATATTAGCCATAAAAAGGAATGAAATTGGGTCATTTGTAGAGACATGGATGGACCTAGAGACTGTCATACAGAGTGAAGTAAGTCAGAAAGAGAAAAACAAATATCATATATTAATGCATATATGTGGAATCTGAAAAAATTGGTATAGACAACCTTATTTACAAAGCAGAAATAGAGACACAGACGTAGAGAACAAACATATGGATACCAAGGGAGAAAGGGGGATGTGGGATGAATTGGGACATTGGGATTGACATATATACACTATTGACACTATGTATAAAATAGATAACTAATATGAACCTACTGTATGGCACAGGGAACTCTACTCAGTGCTCTATGGTGACCTAAATGAGAAGGAAATCCAAAAGAGAGAGGAAATATGTATACATATAGCTGATCCACTTTGCTGTATAGTATAAACTAACACAATATTGTAAAGCAACTATACTCTAATTAAAAAAAAGTTTAAAAAAAGAGAGTAAACTAAAAATAGATAACCAATGCTATACACTGAATATCTGTATCCCCTCAAAATTCATATGTTGAAATCATAACCCCCAATGTGATATTCAGAGTTAGGGCTTTTTGGCGGTTATTAGGGCAAAGCCTTCATTGAAGAGATTAGTGCCCATTAGTGCCACTGGTGCCCAAAAGACCCCAGATAACTTCCTTGCCCTTTCTGCCACATGAGAACACAAAGAGACAATGGCATTCTATGAACAGAAAGGGGACCCTCACCAGACACCAAATCTGCTGGCTCCTTGGTCTGGGATTTCCCAGCCTTCAGAAGTATGAGAAATAAAATTCTATTATTTATAAGCCACACAGTCTATGGTATTTTGTTATACCAGCCCAAATGTACTAAGACAGCAAACTAAGAACTTAGGCTTAAATCTGAATCATCCCAAATCCTGTCTAAATAAGTTGATCCAGAATTGCTAGTGCCCTCTAGAAACAATCATAAATCTTGTCTGAAGGAAAATATCTTCATCTAAGGTTTCAAATTATTTCTAAAATTCTTACATACAAAATCTGACATTTAATGAAAATCGACCAGGTATATAGGAAAAAAAGACCACTGGGATCAAAACACAAGAGAAATACAGGAAATAAAAACAGATCAACAGGGCTTCCCTGGTGGCGCAGTGGTTGAGAGCCTGCCTGCCGATGCAGCGGACACAGGTTCGTGCCCCGGTCCGGGAAAATCCCACATGCCGCGGAGTCGCCGGGCCCGTGAGCCATGGCCGCTGAGCCTACACATCCGGAGCCTGTGCTCCGCAACGGGAGAGGCCACAACAGTGAGAGGCCCGTGTATCGCCAAAACAAAAACAAACAAAAAAAAAAAACAGATCAACAAGAGATCCAGAAAAATTAGTTATCAGACTGCAACTTAAAATACAATTAATATGCTCAAGAAAATAAAATATAAGATTGAGAATGTCAGCAGAGAGCTAGAAACTGTTTAGCTAAAAAATAACCAAAAACTAACCACAACGAACAGATTTACCAGCAGATTACAAATGACCCAAGAGAGAATTATGGACTTGGAAGACAAAAATAAATATCTTGAGAGAGGCACAGAAAGCCCAAAGGTTGGAGTAAAAAAAAAAA